TACCACCGAAAAACACTACCCCAACTGTAAATCATTAGGTCATACGTGGCAAGGCTTAAGCTTGGTGAACAAAAAGACTAATTAGAAGTTATAATAAAAATCTTTTTAAGATTGCAATTTACAATTACAACATGAATATAAAAGTAACAATATTTTTTTTTTAAACTAAAACAAAATATAGATTATTGCTTCACTTGCGTTTAGCGAACGTTTAAAATATAAAATAGTTAATTTTCAACATATCTATAAGTTCAGTTTATTCTCATTTCAATCGAAAACTAAATATATTCAGAAAACCATGTGTTGAAAATTGATTTACGTTGCAGTCTGCAGACTTCTAACTTTCACCTAAAAACAGGCAATGATATATAATGAAAATATTGAAACAGTCAAGTTTAGAGCTATTACAACAAAGATAATAAACTAACCTTCTCAGCCCTTAAAAACGTGTTCGTTTGAAAGTCTGATTACCAGTTATTGACAAATAACTTCAGATACTAAGTGCATCTACATTGAATAAATATAAATTTAATTTTATTATTTAAGCATAATTTAAAACATAAAACAAAAAAAATATTGTTTAAATTAAAAAGCTATGGAACTAACTTTTAAAAAAAAGCTATATAAAAATAAAGTCATATTGCGTGCCTTTTTTAAAAAATAAAACTTCATATACAGTAACCTATCTGGTATACCTAATCCTATAAATGTAGGGTATAAATATGCTTGAGATGCTTATGAATAACAAAAAAAAATTATTTCATTAAAAAAATTTTCTTTAATTTTAATTTAACAAATAAAATAGTATTTAAAAATGAGATACTAATATGCCAGGTTGGAAGTAAAACCGTAAAACCCACAGCAACTTAAGGGCGATGGTGAACCTTTTGCAAAGCATAAGCCCAAGACACAAGTGCACATCTGAAAAAGAAAGAATCAGAGACAGAACACATCAATAAAAATATATTTTGATAAACTAAAATATAGTTTGTAAATTGAACATAGTTTTCACGATACAAAAAAAAACATAGTGCAATATAATATACTATAAAAATTCCTTGAAAAATATAAAAAATCAAATAATTAATTCAAACAAAACGGTTTAGTAAATAAATATATAATTTTTTTTCTAATAAATTTATTGTAAGTATATGAAGAGCAAATAAATATGTTTAAAGAGAATATGATTTAAATCCAGTTTGCAAATCAAACATCTTATACCCATGGCAATATTTGGATCATGGTCAACATAATTCTATGAAATATAACTCTGGTTGAGGTAAACGGTTTCCTGTAAAGAAATAATATTAAATCATAAATGTAACATTAAATTACAAGCGTGTTTGAACGGAATTGTTAAAGCAATCCTTTAAAATAATGGCTTGTAAAATAAAAATTTTGTTAGATTTTTATTCATCTGCTTCACTGGTTAAATACCAAGTTAATTTAGCTTTCCATCAATAACTTTATATTTTAAAGCTTATAGTTATATTTAAATTTAATATAATCAAACAAATCAAACAGTAGACAGACTCCAGAACTTATATTTTAGATTTTCTTCAAAAATAACATTAAAATAATATCAAAATAATAAAATTAAATAAATATCAAAATAATAAAATTAATCTTACTTTATTCTCTGGTAAGATTCAATATCACGATTTAAATTCTCATCTACAATCTCATATACAAAAGGTTACTGTAAAAGGGAATGAATATGAAAAACACAGAAACAGTAATACTCGTTGCACAAAAACTTTATTCTATTGAGTTTAAAAATTAAAATATTTAAAAATATATAAAATAGTTTTCAATAAAATAAAGATAACAAATTTGTAAATAAAGATGCTTATTTTATTTAACAATATTATTCATCTTCTGAACTAAAAAATGCCTCTTTATTTAATGGCAATGGAAAACTTGATGTAGGCATCACTTTTTTCTTGGCTTGTTTGTTTTTTTGGTCTTGTCTAACTTTTTTTCTGCCATTGCGGTCTGATGCACCACGCAAAAAACGCACAACCTCATATTGAAAATCTGATTCAGTTGCTGAAGTTGTTGCAGCATTTCTTTTTACAGCTCCTAAAAATTAATTTAAGACTTTTATTTAACTATCTAGCAGGAAAACAAAAAATATATTTTTTAACTTAATTTCAGACATATATAGAATTTTTTTTAAAGCAATTTATTAACAAATTTTATTTATGTATTTATTAATTTTTTATTTTTATATAGTTAATAAATAAATTTTATTTATTTATCAACTATTTATTAACAAATAGATTAGTAATTACTAAATTAGACACAAGTAATTATTAAATTAGAGTAACAAGCCCCTACAACAAAAATTACTTTTAAGCAAGTGTAAGTCTTTGTTTTACAAAGTTACTTTCATTGTCATTTATGGTAATACCAGACCAGTTAAGTTTACAGCAGAGGTTATTAGTGAATAACGCAAAGGACATTCTCTGGACAGCCTCCTTTAAAGTCTGGCCTCTTTTACTTGCCACAGCTATTATCTACAAAAAAAAAAAAAAATAGAAAAAGCATCAGTAATATATATACTGAAGAATATTTTTTTAAAAATTAAAAAAAAAAAAAGATATCAAATTAATGCCATTAATTATTGCATAACATTTATTAATAGGCTTTATGTCCTTTATTTCTGTTTATAAATGATCTAGCTGGTGTACCACAAATAAAAGCTGATATAGCAAACTTATCTAATTTACCATTAATACTAATACTAGATTCAAATAAAACAATACTTTTATTAACAAACATTTTTAGTAATTCATTACAATCTTTTGGTGTAGACCTACTATAAAAAAGACTAATTATAAATGGGATTTTATTGTGTTGAATATTGTTTATCCACATTTTTTATTAAACCTAATATTGGCCAAAATTGTCCAATGCTGCTTTTAAATAATGGTAAATCATCAATGTTGACTTGAATTGGTATACAATCCTTTTTCTTTAAAGAACTTAAATTATTACTTAAAATACCTTGTCTAATGTCAATATTTAATATCAATAGATTACTGTCAGAGTTCACTTCACAATATATATATAATAAATATTATTTGCACCTTAGGGAATAGCACTCTCAGTTGAAAGTTTTCGATCTGATATACTTTTTAAATACAATGATTGTACTTCTTCTGTTGAATGTGAAATATTGCTTGATTTAATGGTAAGATCTTTTAGGCAATATTCAACATCAGCTATTATCTTTCGTCGTTTTGTCCAAACGCTCACTATTGAAACTTACATAAATTGTTTTATTTAAAAATGTATATATTATATATGTGTATGTGTGTGTGTGTGTGTGTGTGTGTTTGTGTGTGTCTCTGTGTGTGTGTATATATATATATATATATATATATATATATATATATATATATATATATATATATATATATATATATATATATATATATATATATATATAACTTCATATTAGCTTAACATTGTTCTTGTTATATTAAAAGTTATAATATAACTTATATGAATAGTCATGTAACTTTTAATATAACAAGAACAATGTTATACTAATATGGTTATAACATTGTTACATAACTGTAACAATATTGTTAAAGTTATATATGTTTAAAATAAAGTCAAATTAGAATTTTTAATTTTGAGTCTTATAAAAATATATTGAACCTATATGTATATCTATACTTAATATCTATACTAAGTATAGATATAGATATAATATATAGTAATCTATACCAGCGCTGGCCAAACGTTTTGTCACAAGAGCCGCATTTATATACTTACGTGAGCCGAAGAGCCGCAACAACTTCATGTTTGTTTTTTTATATAAGAAACTTTTATTCTCTTTCTTTTGATTATCTGAATTTTAAGAGACTTTCGTACTAGATAAGTAAAAAAACTACCCAAAAAATAAGAAATTTCTAGTACTAGCCCATTTTCTTGGTTTCATATAAAAACAACAATTTGTAATTCACTATTTAAAATCATTTTTTAAAGAATTTTTTTTAGAAAATACAAATTATTTAGGAAATTCCATATGCTCCTAAGGGGTAGAAATAATTGTTGTATCACTATTCAACAATATCATTTTAATATGAAATTTAGATATTTCTTGGATACAAAATATCATTTTTTAAAGATTTAAGTAAAATATGTATACAATTGAATTTAGTTAATTGTTTTAAAACACTCAATAAATTTTTTAAAGAAAAAACTATTCCTTTAAAGATTTTGTTTACAATGCCATTATATCTGATTTATTTTATAAAATTCCCTTCAGACTAAAAAATCATTTCTATAGTTTTTGACAATCACATGATCACACTGATTTTGCACAGCACACGATTAGGTGCTGTGCAACACACTGGCCATGTGCTGTGCAACACACTGATCTTTTTTATGATAGATTTTTGCACAAGCGCATGCTGATCATAAACTTTTTTTTGATTAACAAAATTATAACAATGCTTATATCAATGAAATAATAATTAAAAAACCAACACTAAAATCAGATTATTTTACTTGATTTTTACAATCAAGAAATAACTTTTTCATCATTTTATCAATTTTTTACTTTGATCAAACTAATACTCATAACTTTACTGGTAAGTTTCTTAAAATCTGGTTTCAAACTTGTAGTGGCTGTTCTAAGTAATTCAGACAAATGCTCGTTGGTTAGATTTGCACGATACTTTGATTTGACAAATTTCATAGTAGAGAATAAAGATTCACATGTATACGTTGAACCAAAAATTGAAATGAATTTTATGGCAATCTTTTTAAGTTGAGGATACTTAACCTCGGGAACTATCTTCCAAAATTCCATAAAAGTTATTGTTTTATGCAGCATAAGTAGATTTTGATCTTCTTGGAGATCTAGTAGTTCCATTTCAAATTGAGATATATCTTCAAGCATTTTTTCAGGAATTGGACAGCCATTACTAATAATATTATTTAAAAAAGGATTTACTATAAATCCTAAAGAAGATTTTAGTTCATGCAAATCTTTAAACCTTTTTTGAAAGTCTTTTTGTAAATCCTTTAGTTTGTCCAAGTATGATTCAATCTTATCGTCATCATACTGAATTGAAGGATTAGAAGTAATCATCTTCTTCATTTGAGGAAAATGATTAAATTTTTTCAAGCTAAGATCTTTTTGAAAAAGAATAATTTTTTTTTGAAAACTAAATATCGTTTGTGCAAGATCAGATATATTTTTTTCTTTTCCCTGAAGAAACAAATTCAGACTTTTTAAATGTTGCATTATATCAGTCAAAAATAAAAGATCTTGCACAAAATTTATATCGTCTAGGATTTCAAATGTCTTTTCTTTTTCAATCAAAAAACATTTAATTGGCTCTAATAGTTCTACAAATCTATAAAAAACGTCACTACTTGAAAGCCATCTTACAGAACAGAAAAATGACACGTCACTTGGCTCGTCAGCAAGATCCAATTCATTTATAAAGTTTCTAAACTGTCTGTGATTTTTTGCATTTGCTCGAATATAATTTACAATCTTTAAAACAGATTTAAAAACAATTGGAAAGTTAAAATGTTTTGCAGCTAAATGTTCTCGATGAACAACACAATGAATTGGGATAAATTCTGGATACTTAGGGTCACTTTTTAATAAGCCTATAAGTCCTAAATGTTTTCCAGCCATTGCTGATGCACCATCTGTAGCAACATTAACAAGCTTGTTGATAGGTACATTAGCTTTAAGCAGAGCTTTGTCAAGGGCTTCCTTGATATCAACTCCACGAGTTGTGTCTTTCAACTCAACTAAATCTAGTAACTCTTCTTTTACAATTACGTCTGAAGTCACATATCTAACGAATACAGCCATTTGAGGCTTGTCTTGAATATCTGTTGATTCATCTACAGCTAAACTAAATGCTTCACAGTTTTTTAAATCGTTTAGTAATTGCTGTTCAACATCAATACTAATCTCAGATATTCTTCTTTCGGTTGTATGTCGAGAAATAGGAATTTGTGATACTAATCTTTGGATTTTGCTATTACTAGGATCTAAAACCGACAGGACATCTGAAATGTTTTGCTTTACAAATTCTCCATCGGTATAAGGATGTTTACCTCTGGCAATATTCCATGCTATAACAAAACTTGCTTCTGTTGTATTAATTGATTCTTGGCTGTAAGATGAAATATTTAGTTGTTGATTTTTATTTTTCGTTTTGAGCAATTCAATTTTATTCTTTCTGTAATTTGAACATAACGGATATTCTTCAGAAAATTGTTTATGTTTTGTTTCATAATGACGTTTAACATTGCATGTCTTGTTATGAGCAAGTTCTATATTGCAAATTAAACACATAGGTTTATTGTTTCTTTCAATAAATGCATATTTTTCTGTCCAATCATTATGAAATATTCTGTTTTCGTATTTAATTTTTCTTTTCCGCCTTATTTTGCGAAGCAAACTAGTGTTAACTTTTACTTTATCCATTTTTGCAAGTTTTAAGACAATAAGAATGATGGAAATAATTATATGGAAATATATTAGCATATAACAATTTGGAAAAAAGCCGTATGCGGCTCGCGAGCCGCCTTAACATTCCAAGAGCCGCATGCGGCTCGCGAGCCGCCATTTGGCCATCCCTGATCTATACTAAGTATAGATATAGATATAATATATAAGTATAGATATAGATATAAATATAAATTATAAATATAGATATACATATAATATATTATAATATAATATATAGTAAAGTATACTTTATATTATAATATATTATATTTATATCTATATTTATAATTTATAAATATAGATAAAGGTATAAAATCATGTAACTTTTAGTATTTATAAACAATAATTATAGCTAGGTATATTTTATAATATTAAGACTTTATATTATAAAATATAATCTAATAGATAAAATAAATCGGACTTTATATTATAAAATATACAATATAGGTTATATATATTAAATCTACATCTATACTTTATTAAAGTATAGATGTAGATTTAATATATATAACCTATATTGTAGGACTTAAAAATAAAAAGACTAATTTGATTTTTTTTAATACTATTTATTTATTACTTACTGTTTTACATAGACTATGTACTACAGTATAAAATATAAAATTCGATCAATGTAAGTCTCATGGCGCTTGAAATGCTTACTTTTGGTGTTTTTACGACATCATACTGTTATCCGGGAGCCAACTCGGGCATTGTGTTGGCAAAACTAAAGCGTATCGTCATAAACTTACCGAAGCTGGCATGCCTATTTAAAATCGCATTGGTAACGAGGTGTTTTATCGCTCTTCGGTCGACGGCGGAAAGCCAACACAAAATAGCATGCCGGTCCTACATCAGCTACCCGGCTGCGGTACGCCGCATTAGCAATCACAAAGGGCCAGCACCGGCATTCCGGCGGCGGCTTTGCGCAACGCGGTCCGCTGAAAGCATGTTTGCTGGGTATATATATATATATATATATATATATATATATATATATATATATATATATATATATATATATATATATATATATATATATATATATATATATATATATATATATATATATATATATATATATATATATATATATATATATATATATATATATATATATATATATATATATATATATATATATATATATATATATATATATATGTATATATATATATACATATACCCAGCAAACATACTTTCAGCGGACCGTGATGAGCAAAGCCGCCGCCGGAATGCCGGTGCTGGCCCTTTGTGATTCCTAATGCGGCTTACCGCTGCCGTGTAGCTGATGTAGGACCGGCATACTAATTTGTGTTGACTTTCCGCCATCGGCCAAAAAGCGATAAAACACCTCGTTGCCAATGCGATTTTAAATAGGCATGCTACCTTGGGTAAGTTTATGACGATACGCTTTAGTTTTGCCAACACAATGCCCGAGTTGGCTCCCGGATAACGGTAAGATGTCGTAAAAACACCTAAAGTAAGCATTTCAAGCGCCATGAGACTTAGATTGATCGATTTTTATATTTTATACTGTAGTACATAGTCTATGTAAAACAGTAAGTAATAAATAAATAGTATTAAAAAAAATCAAATTAATCTTTTTATTTTTAAGTCTTACAATAAAGGTTATATATATTAAATCTACATCTATACTTTAATAAAGTATAGATGTAGATTTAATATATATAACTTATATTGTATATTTTATAATATAAAGTCTGATTTTTTTTATTTATTAAATTATATTTTATAATATTAAGTCTTTATATTATAAAATAAACCTAGCTATAATTATTGCTTATAAATATTAAAAGTTACATGATTTTATACATTAATCTTTATTTATAAATTATAAATATAGATATAAATATAATCTATTAAAATATAATATAAAGTATACTTTAACATATATTATATTATAATATATTATATTTATATCTATATTTATAATTTATATTTATATCTATATCTATACTTATATATTATATCTATATCTATACTTAGTATAGATTACTATATATTATATCTATATCTATACTTAGTATAGATATAAAGTATAGATATACATATAGGTTCAATATATATTTATAAGACTCAAAGTTAAAAATTCCAATTTGATTTTAATTTAAACATATATAACTTAAACAATATTGTTACAGTTATGTAACAGTGTGATAACCATTTTAGTATAACATTGTTCTTGTTATATTAAAAGTTACATGACTAGTCATATAACTTTTGATATAACAAGAACAATGTTAAACTAATATGAAGTTATATATATATATATATATATATATATATATATATATATATATATATATATATATATATATATATATATATATATATATATATATATATATATATATATATACATACTTATACATATATATATGTAATACATACTTATACATATATATATGTAATATATATATATATATATATATATATATATATATATATATATATATATATACACACACACACATATATATATAATATATACATTTTTAAATATGTACCAGCTTTAGTAAATAAAACAATTTATGTAAGTTTCAATAGTGAGCTTTTGGACAAAACAACGAAAGATAATAGCTGATGTTGAATATTGCCTAAAAGATCTTACCATTAAATCAAGCAATATTTCACATTCACCAGAAGAAGTACAATCATTGTATTTAAAAAGTATATCAGATCGAAAACTTTCAACTGAGAGTGCTATTCCCTAAGGTGCAAATAATATTGATTGTGAAGTGAACTCTGACAGTAATCTATTGATCTTAAATATTGGCATTAGGCAAGGTATTTTAAGTAGTAATTTAAGTTCTTTAAAGAAAAAGGATTGTATACCAATTCAAGTCAACGTTGATGATTTACCATTGTTTGAAAGCAGAATTGGACAATTTTGGCAATATTAGGTTTAATAAAAAATGCGGATAAACAATATTAAACACAATAAAACCCCATTTATAATTAGTCTTTTTTATTGTAGGTCTAAACCAAAAGACCGTAATGGATTTCTAAAAATGTTTGTTAATGAAAGTATTGCTTTATTTGATTCTGGTAATAGTATTAATGGTAAATTAGATAAGTTTGCTATATCAGCTTTTATTTGTGGTACACCAGCTAGATCATTTATAAACAGAAATAAAGGACATAAAGCCTATTAATAAATGTTATGCAATAATTAATGGCATTAATTTGATATCTTTTTTTTTTTTAATTTTTAAAAAAATATTCTTCAGTATATATATTACTGATGCTTTTTCTATTTTTTTTTTTTTTTGTAGATAATAGCTGTGGCAAGTAAAAGAGGCCAGACTTTAAAGGAGGCTGTCCAGAGAATGTCCTTTGCGTTATTCACTAATAACCTCTGCTGTAAACTTAACTGGTCTGGTATTACCATAAATGACAATGAAAGTAACTTTGTAAAACAAAGACTTACACTTGCTTAAAAGTAATTTTTGTTGTAGGGGCTTGTTACTCTAATTTAATAATTACTTGTGTCTAATTTAGTAATTACTAATCTATTTGTTAATAAATAGTTGATAAATAAATAAAATTTATTTATTAACTATATAAAAATAAAAAATTAATAAATACATAAATAAAATTTGTTAATAAATTGCTTTAAAAAAATTCTATATATGTCTGAAATTAAGTTAAAAAATATATTTTTTGTTTTCCTGCTAGATAGTTAAATAAAAGTCTTTAATTAATTTTTAGGAGCTGTAAAAAGAAATCCTGCAACAACTTCAGCAACTGAATCAGATTTTCAATATGAGGTTGTGCGTTTTTTGCGTGGTACATCAGACCGCAATGGCGGAAAAAAAGTTAGACAAGACCAAAAAAACAAACAAGCCAAGAAAAAAGTGATGCCTACATCAAGTTTTCCATTGCCATTAAATAAAGAGGCATTTTTTAGTTCAGAAGATGAATAATATTGTTAAATAAAATAAGCATCTTTATTTACAAATTTGTTATCTTTATTTTATTGAAAACTATTTTATATATTTTTAAATATTTTAATTTTTAAACTCAATAGAATAAAGTTTTTGTGCAACGAGTATTACTGTTTCTGTGTTTTTCATATTCATTCCCTTTTACAGTAACCTTTTGTATATGAGATTGTAGATGAGAATTTAAATCGTGATATTGAATCTTACCAGAGAATAAAGTAAGATTAATTTTATTATTTTGATATTTATTTAATTTTATTATTTTGATATTATTTTAATGTTATTTTTGAAGAAAATCTAAAATATAAGTTCTGGAGTCTGTCTACTGTTTGATTTGTTTGATTATATTAAATTTAAATATAACTATAAGCTTTAAAATATAAAGTTATTGATGGAAAGCTAAATTAACTTGGTATTTAACCAGTGAAGCAGATGAATAAAAATCTAACAAAATTTTTATTTTACAAGCCATTATTTTAAAGGATTGCTTTAACAATTCCGTTCAAACACGCTTGTAATTTAATGTTACATTTATGATTTAATATTATTTCTTTACAGGAAACCGTTTACCTCAACCAGAGTTATATTTCATAGAATTATGTTGACCATGATCCAAATATTGCCATGGGTATAAGATGTTTGATTTGCAAACTGGATTTAAATCATATTCTCTTTAAACATATTTATTTGCTCTTCATATACTTACAATAAATTTATTAGAAAAAAAATTATATATTTATTTACTAAACCGTTTTGTTTGAATTAATTATTTGATTTTTTATATTTTTCAAGGAATTTTTATAGTATATTATATTGCACTATGTTTTTTTTTGTATCGTGAAAACTATGTTCAATTTACAAACTATATTTTAGTTTATCAAAATATATTTTTATTGATGTGTTCTGTCTCTGATTCTTTCTTTTTCAGATGTGCACTTGTGTCTTGGGCTTATGCTTTGCAAAAGGTTCACCATCGCCCTTAAGTTGCTGTGGGTTTTACGGTTTTACTTCCAACCTGGCATATTAGTATCTCATTTTTAAATACTATTTTATTTGTTAAATTAAAATTAAAGAAAATTTTTTTAATGAAATAATTTTTTTTTGTTATTCATAAGCATCTCAAGCATATTTATACCCTACATTTATAGGATTAGGTATACCAGATAGGTTACTGTATATGAAGTTTTATTTTTTAAAAAGGGCACGCAATATGACTTTATTTTTATATAGCTTTTTTTTTAAAAGTTAGTTCCATAGCTTTTTAATTTAAACAATATTTTTTTTGTTTTATGTTTTAAATTATGCTTAAATAATAAAATTAAATTTATATTTATTCAATGTAGATGCACTTAGTATCTGAAGTTATTTGTCAATAACTGGTAATCAGACTTTCAAACGAACACGTTTTTAAGGGCTGAGAAGGTTAGTTTATTATCTTTGTTGTAATAGCTCTAAACTTGACTGTTTCAATATTTTCATTATATATCATTGCCTGTTTTTAGGTGAAAGTTAGAAGTCTGCAGACTGCAACGTAAATCAATTTTCAACACATGGTTTTCTGAATATATTTAGTTTTCGATTGAAATGAGAATAAACTGAACTTATAGATATGTTGAAAATTAACTATTTTATATTTTAAACGTTCGCTAAACGCAAGTGAAGCAATAATCTATATTTTGTTTTAGTTTAAAAAAAAAATATTGTTACTTTTATATTCATGTTGTAATTGTAAATTGCAATCTTAAAAAGATTTTTATTATAACTTCTAATTAGTCTTTTTGTTCACCAAGCTTAAGCCTTGCCACGTATGACCTAATGATTTACAGTTGGGGTAGTGTTTTTCGGTGGTAGGAGAATTTTAGTATAATAAATTAGTATTTTGTCTATATACCTATGCACGAAGTCAAAAGATATTTGATGTGTCTTCCAGGCATTGGCAGGATTTGCATTTTTTTATGAGTAAAAATTTGAGCTGAAAGATATAAAGATTTTTGCTAACGATAAGTGCGTTCTATACAAACAAAAAAATAAAAATAATTATATGTATATCAATGCATTCAAACCTTAGTCAAAACTTATTATAGATCCTATGCTATTCCGCAATGGCTTTATCATCGTTTAGCCGCTGTCGGACCGTTGCTCAAACGTTGTCAATTTGCCGCCATAGGTCCACTGTCGAACGGCCTTCAGTTATCCGCTAACGGACCGATGTAAATACGATGTGCAAGCCAACGCGGCAACGCAACGGGCGGCCGACGTCGGTACGACGTAAGTGCTGACAGCGGTCCGTTATCGATCCGCCTGCTTGATGTTTGCTGGGTATATATATACCCAGCAAACATGCTTTTATCGGACCGTGATGCGTAGAGCCGCCGCCGGTATGCCGATGCTGGCCCACTGTTAAACCTAATGTCGGTTGCCGTCGTTGCAAAAACGCTGAAGGTCCACTATGCCATTTTTTGTTGGCTTGCTGCTGCCGGCTGAAAAGCGACAAAACGCTACGTTGAAAATGCGTTATTAATCAGGCATGCCAGCTTCGGTAAATAGGTGGCGATGCACTATAGTTTTGCCAACACAAATCTAGAGTTGGCTTTCGGATAACAGTACGCTGTCGTAATAACACCTTAAACAAGCATTTCAAGCGCCATGACACTTTGATAGATCGATGTTTATATTGAGACTGTTTAATAACAAAGTTTTTATGATTTTTTTTTATTAGTGTTTAAATATATTCTTCAAATTATTATTATTACATTCATTTATTTTTAAAAAATAATTCAATTAGTATTTATAACGCTAATAAAGTTATATATGTATAACAATATAATTAATTAACAAAGTAATAAATGAATAAGATTAAAAAAAAATCAAATTAGTTTTTTTATTTTTGAGTCTTAAAATATAAATTATGTTTATTTTATATTGAATCTGTATCTGTATAATTTTATATTGAATCTGTATCTACAAAATAAATATAGATGCAATATTAAATTATATATACAATTTGTAGATATCGACGATATCTATATTTAACTTTTTAAAGTATAACTATAGTTATTGCTTGTAGATTAAAATTTATATGATTATAACATTGTTATAATCATATAACTATACTTTTATCTTATTTAGAGCGTATACTTACTTTATAATGTAAAGTATAAATATAGATATAGATTTATACTCTAAGACTCAAAAATAAAAAGACTAGTTTTTTTTTTTAAACACGTATAACTATAACAATATTGTTAAAGTTATATAACAATGTTATATCATAATGTAAATAAAAGAATGAAATTTCATTAAAGCTTATTATCTATCTGCATTATTTTTTTAAATATATACCAGCTTTAGTAAATATTAAATTTATATAAACTTAAGATAAAGTTAAGTTTCAATTATGAGCTTTTGGACAAAAAGACGAAAGATATTAGCTGATGTTGAGTATTGCTTAAAAGATCTTAACAATAAATCAAGCAATGTTTCGCAATCACCAGATGACGTAAAGTTATTGTATTTAAAAAGTATATCCAATAAAAAAATTTTAACTGAGAATTCAATTCCTTCAGTTGCAAAAAATATTGATTATGAAGTGAACTCTAACAGTAATATAACAGTTTCTGATTCAGAATTTTACCCATCAGATTATCTTTATGATGACCAATCATCAGATTCAGAAACAAGTGATGATAGTAACGATGAAGTTATAACCAATACAGCTTTATCATCTTTGTTAAAAATTTTGGGTAAACTGTTTCCTGAATTGCCAAAGGATCCACGCACTCTGCGTCAAACAAAGTCTTTTGTACCTGTTACCAATATAACTGGAGGACAGTATTGTCATTTTGGCATAAGACAGGGTATTTTAAGTAATATTTCAAGTTTTTTAAAGAGAAAGGATTGTATACAAATTCAAGTCAATATTGATGGCTTACCATTGTTTAAAAGCTGCAATGGGCAATTTTGGCCAATACTAGGTTTAATTGAAAATAGTAATGAATTTCTAAAAACGTTAGTTGATAAATGTATTACTCTATTTGATTCTGGTATTAATATTAATGGTAAAGTATATAAGTTTGCTATATCAGCTTTTATTTGTGATACACCAGCTAGATCATTTATAAAAGGAGTTAAAGGACAAAAGGGTGTATATGCTGGAAGAGTAACTGTTCCATATCTTCAAGCTAAACTAAGAACCAATCATTCCTTTTCAAATATGGCACAAAAAGAACATTATATAAAAGAATTTATTTTTGTTCTACTTGGTGTTGGTATGGTAACCCAGTTTCCGAGTGATTACATGCATCTTGCATGCTTGGGAGTTATTAGAAAGTTAATATTTAATTGGTTAAAAGGTCCATTACATGTTAGAATTGGTCCCAGAGATGTGAAAAAACTTTTTGATAAATTAATTGCTGCAACCATGTTTCTTCTTAAAGAGTTTGCACGTAAGCCAAGATCTATTACTGACTTTGAAAGGTATAAGGCAACAGAGTTCCGTCAGTTTCTTTTATATACTGGTGTCGTTTATTTGGCTGAAGTTCTCCCAAAGCTTTGTATAAAATTTTTTTGTTGTTATCTGTTGCCATGAAGATGTTGTTGTGTTCACAGCTTGCTACAATTTATGCAGAATCAGCTTATACTTTGTTCACTCATTTTATTCAGCATGCCTCTGATTTGTTTGGTCCGGAAGTCATCACTTATAAACTTCATGGACTTTCACATTTATGTTCAGATGCAAAACAATATGGAGCGTTGGACAACATATCTTATTTTCCTTTCGAAAATAACCTTTCTCAGGTTAAAATGGTGCACAAACCAAACTTTCCTTTACAACAAGTAGCACATACATTTTTAGAACGAGCGTCATTGCTATTAAAAGAACCATTTATTAAATACCCTTTATTGAAGCAGGAGCATACTATCAAACTTCCAATAGGTCTGCCTGAGATTTCTTCGCAATATAAACAACTTTTTTTGTCAAGTTTTTGTGTGATAACCTCAGTAGGTGATAACTGTTTTGGTTTAAAAAGTGGTGAAATAGTGATTGTACAAAACACTCTAAAGACAAAAAGAGAACCTTATGACATATTAATAGTATTCATTTCTATTAAAAAGAAATCAAAGTTATTTGTTTATCCATGGGGTTCTTCTTTGGTTGGTATTTATTCTGTTGACGAGTTGTCAAAAAATTTACTATTTTGTTGTATTGCTAATATAAAGAAAAAGTATGTTCTTTTGCCACAAAAAAAATTATATGCAGCACTTCCACTTTTACACTTCTAGACATCTTTCTGAATATTATTGTTTATCAATCTATTTTATGCTTTACTTTGTATAAAGTTAAAATAAAACTTTTTATAATTTGAATGATTTTTTTTTTTTTTTAGACCTTTTGTATCTTTGGAATACAATAGCATTCAACATACAATTTCTTGAATCTATATAATTGTGTTTTCACTTGTCAATATAAATTTGATTAAACTTTTTTTCTTTATTAATATTTAATTTAAATTCAGCAGTTTGAATATATATATATATATGTATATATATATATATATATATATATATATATATATATATATATATATATATATATATATATATATATATATATATATATATATATATATATATATATATTATATATATATATATATATATATATATATATATATATATATATATATATATATATATATATATATATATATATATATATATATATATACATTAAAATTTTTTTTAATTTTATTTAAATATATATATATATATATTAAAATATATAAAATTTAAAATTAATATTTATTTCTTTTAGTTGCCAAATATTTTTTGACAGTATATTTTGAAATATATATTGTAAGAAAAAAATTAAACTGGTCTATTCTAAAAACTGGTCCTGCCTGTAATAATTTTCAAAAAATTTATACTATGTTTATAAGAAAAATATGAAATTATTACTCATTTTGACCAAAAAATTTACTAAACAAAAAATCTTCATTAATTTCTAAATGAGATGAAAATAAGTTCCTTTTATAAAATTATAAAAATAAATGACCAGATTAAAATTATCCTAATTCTAAAGAATTTTTTTTATGACTAATTATCAAATTTAAATGTAGTTGATGCAATTTCATGGTTGCAAAATAACTACAGTTATTATATAAATAATTAAACAAATTCCCAACTTCCTGTGAGATATTTTTTCTATAACTTGAACTTTTTTTTATGTTTAGACACTCTTCCAGATGAGCCTACTAATTGCAAAAAATAACTGCTGAAGAAAATTAGATAAGTGTTTTTACTAATTTGTTATTGCTCTGTTCTTTAAAAACATTGAGCACTCTAATTTTAGAACAAAGTCACATAATTTAAATATATACATATATGCACTTATGCCGATTCGCACATATGCTAGTTTGCACTTATACCAGTTTCTGTAACTGTTTCAATAACTGCTTTGCACTTATGCCAATTCGCAAATTTGTCAATGTTTGCAAATTTGTTCGACGCACATATGCCAATTCGCACTTATGCCAGTTTGCACTTATGCCAATGTTTGGAAATTCTTTTTGTGTACTTAAACCCATTTGCACTTATGCCATATGGAATTGCGTCTGTTTTTGTAACTGCTTCACACATGTACTAGTTTGCACTTATGCGAATTTGTACTTACGCCAGTTCGCACTTATGAAATTCACGGTTATTCACTCGTACCATTATGGTAAAACACCTTAGGTAGAGCCATGCATGGGATTTGTATTATGGATTGTAAGATAGGAGTAATATCATTATAAACTTAAACAGAGTATTTATAGGAATGCACTTTTAATTTACTAACCTCTCCACCATAGCTATCACAAGTTTTTGACAATTCTTACCATCAATATTTTGAACTTTTTGTTTCTAATAGAAAGAAATTATAGAAAAATTGACAAATCAAACTTAAGTAGTAAAAATTATATATTTTAAAGAAAATTTTTAAAAAAGAAAAAATTTTTCAAATCAGTATTTAGCAATTTATAACTGCAGAGTTACTGCAGAGTTGCTAGATGAAATATTATTAAGTGCTGAGTCAAACTTATCAAACTCTATTAGGCTGTTCATTTCAGTTACTACTTCTTGCTCAAACTATTTTATATTAGGCTTTTTGGATCCTTGGGTTTTTATCTCATTTAGGAGACGCAACACAAAATAATAAAAGTCTAAACAAACTTACAATAATTAAATTTTACTTAGTATTAACAAAACTGCGTATATAAATAAATTTCAAATACATAAATTTATTAATTTAACAACTTTACTGATCTAACCCTAAATCAGAGAAAAACTAATAGACAGTAAAATACATGATTGTGGCAATGCTAATTTTTGGTATAGCCACAATAAATATTTTACTATATATTACAGTTTTTCTCAGATTTAGGGTTAGAGAAGAAAGATTGTTTCATAGATTTATAACTTTGATAATATTGAAATAATGTATTTCATGCAGGTGATTGTTTAAAGTTAAAATTGGAACCTCATCTTTTCAATGAAATCTTTGAAAATTGACAGTCGTGTTAGCATTTAACAACAAACATTACGTTATTATTTTTAACTAAAGACATACTTGCTTGAGATAATGGAAATCTATCATATTTATCCTTTTTATTTTAAGATGATGAAGATTGATGTGTCTTAAAATGAATCTCTTTGTCATCACAATCAATATCATTTTTATTTATTGTTTTTTCCCTACGGAACACAAGCATAGAGAATATTTGAATTTTATCTAAAAACTTGTTTTCTCATGTACAAATTTGGAATTAAAAATCTTTTACAAATTACTTCACAGAATATTAAATTTATAAGTAAAGTAGGGTATATAATATTGAATATAATGTTATAGGTTTCAAACTGCCAAATATTTGGTAATAACACCAGAATATTTTTAAAGATTAAAAATCTTAAAACGACATTTTGCACTAAATCACTTACTTTCTTAAAACAAATCGTCATACTTTTTCCTTTCAGCCTTTTTAACTGTAGTAATTCCTTAGTAGAAACCACTGATATTATTATATTTTATTTTCAGAGTTAAAGAAGAAAACCTCTGAAAATGTTGATCCCTTTTCTCAAATACAAATGAATTTTTTTGCATTAAAAGCAGTTGATAATCAAGTAGAATTAAAAACTTAATCTAGTTTCTTTAGCAATCAAGTTTACTTAATAATTAAGCTATTTAATCTAAATAACCACACCATAAAAACATTATCATTTTAATAATATCTACTTAACTCAAGTAGAAATACAAACACAACCTAGTTTCAACAAAGACAAACTAAAAATACTCTAATATATTTTTAAATTTAATTCTCCAAGAAAACAATACAAACACCTGTTTGATTAAAAGATATGTTAATTTATATAATTTTTAGTTAAATAAATCACTTCACTTAATCGAAGGTCGCGCCATTATTTGCGTATACACTTACTCTTTTAAATATTGGCGTGTACATTTAAAAAACGATGTTAAAAAAACGTTTTAAAAGCTAACTGAGAAATTTCGTAAGTTGTAAAAAACGCTTAAAAAACGCTAAAAAAACGTTTAAATTAACATTAAAAAAAACCTTAACAAAAAAACGTTTTAAAAACGATTGTATTGGTTCTTTAAACGTCTGACCGTAATTTGAACGCAACTTAAACGTTTTAAAAACGTCCTGTGCTTACTGGGAATGGTTAAAAGTGCGCAAAAAGAATTTCCAAACATTGGCAAAAGTGCAAACTGGCATATGTGCGTCAAACAAATTTGCAAACATTGACATAATTGCGGTTTAGCATAAGTGCAAAGCAGTTATTGAAACAGTTACAGAAACTGGTATAAGTGTAAACTAGCATATGTGCGAATTGGCATAAGTGCGCTAAATAGAATTAAAACATTCTCATTAGTGTAAATTGCTATAAGTGGAAACTGGTATAAGTGTGAAGCAGTTGTAAAAATTGGCAAAAGTGCAAACAACATAAATGTGAACTGGCATAAGTGTACCAAATAAATTTGCATGCGTTTGCATAAGGGCAAACTGGCATAACTGCAAACTAGCATAAGGGCCATAATTGCCAACTAGCACTTATGCCAATGTTTGCAAATGTAATATGTGCACTTATGTCAGTTCGCACTTCTGCCAATTTTTGTAAATGTTTTGTACTTATTCAAATTTTGCACTTATGCTTATTCGCAATGTTTGCAAACTTATTTGGTGCACTTATGTCAATTCACACTTTTGCCAGTTTTCAAGTTTAAAGCTATAGGTTATCCTAGCTTAACTTTATTCTAGACAGTTCTTTTAACCCGGACTATTCATATATATGACTACAATTATGGTTAGTGAACACTAATGATCTGAACTGCACTAATTGTTAGTATACTATTTTTTAAATAATAATTAATAGATAAACTGTATTGTTAAATTTAATAAAACATCTTGATTTAAATTATGAAAAAAAGAAAAACACTTAAGAGTAAAATAGAGTAGTTAATTAAAATTTCATAAATTATAAAATATAATATTATTAAATTACGGTATTTTTAGTTTTATGGCAAAGTCATTCGTGATCAAATTTAATATGGCAGCTGGAAAAGACAAAGGATCGTTTTAGTCTAACCAAGCAATACAACTTAATAAAAGGTACGTTTATATATATATATATATATATATATATATATATATATATATATATATATATATATATATATATATATATATATATATATATATATATATATATATATATATATATATATATATATATATATATCTGTGTGTGTGGTGTTTATATATATATATATATATATATATATTTAATATACTTTTTATATGTACGTATTATGAAATTATATATATATTTTTAAAACATATATTTGTAATTTAAAAACTTATTACTATTATTATTATTATTATTATTATTATTGTTATTATTATTATTATAATTATACTATTATATTATTATTATACTATAATACTATTATTGCTATTCAGATTGTCTGTTGTAAATATATAGTTTATTCTTTTAGTTTGTGCATCGACTGCTCACTAATCATAAACAGAGTTGAATGTTGATGCAATAATTACTGATTTGTTAAAGCTGGCAACTTCTTCTTGTGTTATAGTACCTTAAATCTAACAGATATCATCGTTACGATATTAATTTGTTTGTAAATTGTTTTAGAAAATAAATTTAATAATAACTTTTAAAAAACTTTTTTTTTTTCTTGTTTTTTAAACCAATAGGTTCTTTAAACAATTTAATAGAAGTCTCTATGGACTTGGGAATATTTTCTAAAAAAAAAAACGTCCTTTAAACGTTCAAAAGACGTTTGTCTGTAGTTTCTATTTGGCTTTTTTAAGAACGTTTTTTAAACGTTCTTTTTCAAACGTTTTTTAGGCCATTGCCATTTCGATCAGTTTAAAATGCGTGGTTATTTATTAGCTGTAACAAAAAAACGTCTTGAAAAACGTTCGTGTGCTTACTTGGGCAATACAGGACGTAATCGTGTTCTATACTTAAACAGAGTATTTATAGGAATGCACTTTTAATTTGCTAACCTCTCCATCTTAGCTGTATACAAGTGTTTGACATATTCTTAGCCACCAATCACTTATTGAACTCTTTGTTTCTACTAGAAAGAAATTATGGAAAAACTAAAGGTATAGTTTAGTGAAAATTATATATTTTAAAGAAAATTTTTAAAAAAGAAAAAATTTGTCAAATCAGTAGTTAGCAATTTACAACTGCAGAGTTACAACAGAGTTACTATATGAAACATTAACAAGTCCTAAGTCAAACTTATCAAACTCTATTAGGCTGTTCATTTCAGTTACTACTTCTTGCTCACACTATTTTATATTAGGTGTTTACAAAAAAACGTTTTAAAAACGATTGAATTGGCTTTTTAAACGTCTGACCGTAAATTAAACGGAATTCAAACGTTCTAAAAACGTCCTGTGCTTACTGGGTTTATACTTGTATACTTTTTAGTACTGAGTTAGCACTTATATTAATCGGTTAAGAGTTTGTTTAAAAGAATTTAAAATAAACTTCTGAGCATTTGCAATAACATGGATTTTATTTTTTTGTGTACTCAAATTTTTATACTTTCTTAAACTTTTATTTTTTCTAAGTTTCAAAAGATAAATGCAACTTTAAATGCAATATATCTTTTGTTTAGCTTATTCCAACATTACAGAAACTAAGTTTCTGTAATGTTACATTACGGAAAAAGTTTCAAAAAAGTAGCAAATAAAGTCACCGCCTTATCGCTAAATTTCAGAGGAAGACGAAATATATTCTTGATATTTTTTGCTAAACAATTTTGAAATTAAAATACAATCACTGAATATAACTATTAATACAGTTTTTTAAACTTTGTTAAAGTTGCATCATATATCAGTTTTCATTATAATTTGTTTTAGAATTTTTTTTGTTATTAAAGAGATTGTTGAGCCTAATCTTCTTTTTATGTCTCTAGACACTTATGAAAAAGCCTGTTTAAAGCTAAAGACTGCCGAAGACACATCAGATTTGCTAACAGAGCCTGAACAACAACAGCCTGTACGCTTGAGAACAAAGAGGTTTGTTTAACTTCCTCAAGTCAGAAATTATCTTTATAAAAGTATACCTAAAACAAAAATATAAACTATAATCAAAAATAAGTTTTTTTTAATTCATTTGTTAACTTTAAAAATGTAATAGATAGCATAATTTTTTCTATTTTTTAGAAAAATAATTGACTACAACATTGATACCACTCAGATTATGAGTGACAATGATATTGAGTTTAGTGTTGCAAAAAACATTAAGAAATCACTTTATCCAAAGAAAGATTTACAAAATGCACCATTTGTACCTCCATTATCGTATGATTGTTTACATTATATGATTAAAACAATTTTAAATAATGAAATAAAATATTTCAGAATTTGTATAGAAATGACAATAAAAAAAAATGAACATGTTAATAAAAAAATTTTTCTTATTGCTTTTATATAATAAGATAAAGTTATCAAACTAATAGTAAAATTTTTGTTAAAAAATTTAAATTTTTTAGGCTTCAACAATCAGTGTCCTTGATGTCTGAAGAAGTATTATTTTCTAATAAAACCCCGTCAAATGAGTAATTAATACATATATACTTTTACTTTCAATAAAAAATTAAAAATGATTTTTAAAAAACTATCAATACAATTATATATTATATTTTCTATTTAACATATCACCTTACACAGGGCTCAGTGTATACTATCTCAAGATGTTTCTGAAAAGCTGGTTACAGTACTTATGGAGATAAAAAGTGAGTTAAAAGATTTAAAACGCCAAACTGAGTTTAACACAAAAATGTTGCAGCAAATGTTAGAGTGCAAGGAAGACGATGGAATTTTAGAAAAATACAGCTTTCCTCTTGACAATTTAGAAGAATTGTGTGAAATTGAAAAACTCCTTGCAGCTGATAAGGCAGCATTTAACAAACTTGTAAGCATTTATATACAATACAGTTTCCCAAAATTATAAATGTTATATAATATTTTATGCCCTTAATTTGAGTTTGAATTTTTTAAATGATTTAATTTGGAAACTTTTTTCTGTATATATATTACTGATTCTTGCTTTTTCTGTTTTTTTTTTTTTTTTTTTTTTTTTTTTTTTTGTAGATAATAGCAGTGGCTAGCAAAGGAGGCCAGACTTTAAAGGAGGCTGTGCGGAGAATGACTTTTGCATTATTCACAAATAACCTCTGCTGTAAACTGAACTGGACTGGTATTACCAGAAAAGATAATGAAAGCATCTTTGTAAAACAAAGTCTAAAAGACTTACAATGTCGACATGTGCTTGAAAGTAATTTTTTTTTTTGAGGAGGGAGGTGCTAATTATTCCAAATTATTAGTTACTTGTGTCTAATCTATTTACTCATTAAATAGTGTAGCTTTAAAAAAGTTCTAAATATATTTCTGATATGATATGGCAAAATATATATATTGTTTTCCTTAAATTTAAGTTAAAATTAATTTTTAGGAGCTGTTAAAAGAAATCCTGCAACATCTTCAGCCACTGAATCGGATTTTCAACATGAGATTGTGCGTTTTTTGCGCGGTGCATCAGACCGCAATGGTGGACGAAAAATACGACTAGACCAAAAAAACAAACAGGCCAAGAAAAAACTGTTTCCATCATCAAATTTATTTATGGCATTAAATAAAGAGACATTTTCTAGTTCAGAGGATTAATAGCATTTTTAAATAAAATAATTATCTTTATTTCAAATTCATTATTTGGTATATTTGTTTCAGTATAAAAATAAGATTGTACATGAGAAATTCATCATCATATTGAATGTTACTAGTGAATAAAATAAGATCCATTTTATTATTTTAATGTTATTTTTTTTAATTTTATTTTTGAAAGAAATCCAAAATGTAATTTCTGGAGTCTGTCTACTGTTTGATTTATGTTAATGTTCATTGATGTTTGATTACTGTTTGATTATATTAAATTTAATTTAAACTTTAAAAAGTTAATGAAGGAAATCTTGGTACTCAACCGCTGTAGCAAATAAAAGAAATCTAGCAAAATTAGTAGTCAAAGTTGCCTTTCTTATTTTACCATTCTTATTTCTTTCTTGTTTTTCTTATTTTTCCATTATTTTAAAGTACTGCTTTAAAAATTCAGTTCAAACAATTTAATGTTACACTTATGATTTACTATTTTTTCTTTACAGGTTTGGACACCTTGTACTTCCACCTTGCCATAGGGTTATGTTGACCATGGACCGATTATTGCCATGGCCATAGAATATTTGTTTTGACTTCCAAATCTATACTATATTTTTTTAAACATATTTATTTGATCTATACTTACAAATAATTTATAAAAAAAATAAATTATATTTACTTATCCATTTTATTTCAGTCACTCATTTGGTTTTTTAAATATTTTTTTAAAGGCATTTTCATCGTTTATTACATTGTGCTATGTTTTTGTTTGTATGGTGAAAACTATGTTTAAATTAAGTAATGTTTTTAATTTTTTTATGTGTTAAATTATGTTTCAATATTAAAATTAAATTTATCTTTATTCAATGTAGATACACTTAGCATGTAGAATTATTTATCAATAATTGATGATCAAACCGTTTTAAACGAAAATGTTTTTAAAGACTGAGAAAGTTAGTTTATTATGGTCGTTGTAATAGCTCAAGGCACGAGTACAACAAAAACTGGACTGTTTCAATATTTTGATTATATAATATTATCTGCTTACAGGTGACAGTTAAGTCTGCAAACTGCAATATAAATCGATTTTCAACACGTTATGGCTTCTCGAATTTATTTTGTTTCCGATCGAAGTGTTATAAAAATATAAACTTATAAAGTGTTTAAAATTAACTACTTATATTAGAAATATTTTAAAGTAGGTTCGCTAAACGCAAGTTTATATTATGTACCTTTTAAATTACGTTTTAGACAAAATAAATTTATTTTGACTTTGATATTCTTTTTTAGTTGAAATTGTAAATTGTTATCTTAAAATATTTTTTATTATTACTTCTGATTGTTCTTTTTGTTCATATCAGCTCACCGAACTGAAGCGTTACAACTTATGACTAATAATTTGCAGTTGGGGTAGTATTTCCTGGTGCTAGCAATATTACTAAATTCGTGTTGATTTATTAAGTATTTAATAACTATATCTCTGCGCAAAGTTAAAAGGTGTTTGATGTGCCATTCTTTTGTGCGTAAAAATTAATTTGCCAACGATAAGTGCGGTTCCATTCAAGCGAAAATACAAGATTAATGATATATATATATATATATATATATATATATATATATATATATATATATATATATATATATATATATATATATATATATATATATATATATATATATATATATATCAATGCAATGAAATTTTAGTCGAAACTTTTAAAAGGTCCTATGTTATTCCCCTATCGCTCCATCATCGGTTTGCCGATGACGGACCGCTGTAAAAAAGTTGTCGATTTGCCGCCACTGGTCCGCTGTCGATCCGCCTGCAACTTGCTGCTAAAGGACCGATGTAAATACGATGTGCAAGACAACGCGGCAACGCAGCGGGCGGCCAACGTCGGCACGGCATAAGTGCTGACAGCGGTCCGTTATCGGTCCGCCTGCTTGATGTTTGCTGGGTATATATATATATATATATATATATATATATATATATATATATATATATATATATATATATATATATATATATATATATATATATACCCAACGGGCATTCGAACATTTAATCAACGTTTAGGTAATGTTCGTTCTAAATGTTTAGATTTAATTTAGTTTTGATTTAGAACGTAGGTCAATCGAATGTTCCATTTAAACCATATCTAAATGGTTCGTTTTAAACGCTATTTAAACTTTATTTAAATCTTTCGATTAAAACTTCGCGACGTTAAACTTTATTTTACGGCGCTTATTTAAAGAAGCATAAATAAATACAAAATATTGATAAACGAATCAAACTTTTCTTTTATTTAAGCTGCTTTAAATAAGCACCGTAAAAAAAAGTTAAACGCTGAACGCATTATCTAAATACTCATAAACAAATCAAACATTAAACAAATAATTTTTTATTTATATAAGTCTAAGATAAAAGTAAAAACATTTTATTTATTATTATATGCATTATCGTATTCGTCATCATGATCGGCTCCATAATGATCATCGTCATCTTTGTTTGAACCGATTAAGCCTCTTCGTCTTAAGAATTAGAAAAAAGGACACAACCTATCCTATTTCCACCTATACGGAAGAGAGCCATTCTAAGATGGAAATCAATTCACGATACCGTATTGCGGATACCGAAGTCATACAATCTCTTTCTAAAAATAATAAAAATAATTCAACAAACATCTTCATTCTATTCATTTAACAACTTTATAAATCCATAGTTTTATAGATTATAGAAGATTGTACAATAGTAGAGTGTACATTGAGTAATTATGGTAACAATTGACAGAGAACTTTTCTTTAAAACTCTGTAATATATATAACATTTATATAATAAAAACCTTATTAAAAAAATTTGCAGTTATCGTAGTTATGGGTTGATAAGTTATATATATATATATATATATATATATATATATATATATATATATATATATATATATATATATATATATATATATATATATATATATATATATATATATATATATATATATATATATATATATATATATATATAGGAGCAGTAGGCTCCTCAAGACAATGAATAATGGGAGTTATCAAACTTTATATATATATATATATATATATATATATATATATATATATATATATATATATATATATATATATATATATATATATATATATATATATATATATATATATATATATATATATATATATATATATATATATATATATATATAGGAGCAGTAGGCTCCTCAAGACAATGAATAATGGGAGTTATCAAACTTTATATATATATATATATATATATATATATATATATATATATATATATATATATATAATATATATATATATATATATATATATATATATATATATATATATATATATATAAAGTTTGATAACTCCCATTATTTATTGTCTTGAGGAGCAATAGGCACACTTAGTATCCTGTTTAATTGAAACTTTCTATTTAATTGAAAAGTTGTGGAGATACCGACAGTTTCACTACAATATAAATAAACATGTAAAAATAAAATTGTAATTCTTACACTTCTTAAAGTTTAAAAACTAATCAACAAACATAATAATTAAAATTTATATATCAAAATTATATATATGTACTAACACGCAACTTAAGGTAAAAATTAAGTATTACTTGATCAATCCATTAGATTGTACTTTGATAAAGTAGTTATGTGGATAATGGTATTTTAGAACTCAATTTTTGGGCTTACAGAAAAAGAGACTTTGCAAGTACTGATGGGTTAGCTATTATGTAAATAACTATATAGATATATTATGTATACAAAGTTATTTTAAATAAAAATTTACTAAAACATTGTAAATTTGATTTTAAAGTCTATCCTAAAAGGATTACATTGCTAAATATGTTCATAAGTCATAAAATTAACAGGTTTATTTAAAAATAAAGGAGTTCTATATAAAAGATATAGATTTAGACATCTTACTTGATTGGTCCATTCTAGAGTCTTTTGGTAAAGTAGTCACACTTAATTTGAATAAAGATATCTTAGAATGCGATTTAATGCTTGAGACAAGGTGGCTGTGGAAGTGGTGATGGTTTAACTAAAATATAAATCCGAGTGTATATTGTCTGAGATATGTTCATTACAATTATTATTAGTCTTCAAAGATGTAAAGTAGGACAACTTACTTGCATAATCAATTGAATATACTTGCAGTACCACATCCATAATCTTTTTGTATATTTAAACATTTGTAACTTTTTTTTATACTTAAATGCATCATGCATGCATGCTATATTATAATACAGCATGCATGAATAATGCATGCAAGTGTTTTTGGCACTAAGTTCTTCACAAACTTTATTTCATGTTTATTGTTACATCAAATTAGCTAACCTGTCAATATTCGTACCTTTTGCATTAACATTAACATAAAATTCTTCCTCAACTGAAAAATAAAAACTCTTTTACTATTCCATAAAAATACTATAACCATAAAAATGGTTAATCATTTACTAACTAAAACTTGCTTCTTTTTTTTTTTTACATAAAAATTAGAACAAACTAAATAAAACTATTATTTTTAAATTTATAATATATATATATATATATATATATATATATATATATATATATATATATATATATATATATATATATATATATATATATATATATATATATATACTATATATATATATATATATATATATATATATATATATATATATATATATATATATATATTTATATATATATATATATATATATATATATATATATATATATATATATAAATATAATATATATATATATATATATATATATATATATATATATATATATATATATATATATATATATAAATATATATATATATATATATATATATATATATATATATATATATATATATATATATATATATATATATATATATATATATAATATTATTTGCTTTAACAAGCGATTTATTCAATTTTTAGTGCAGTTTTTCCATAATTAACCATTTCTACTGTAATTGCATTAAACTAGTAATATTAACTCTGAAGAAATTGAAAAAAAAAAAAAATTTAGTATAGAATAATGCACAATTATGGATTAATTATATGTTATTATTTTCAATTTATATATTATTAGTTTCTATATAAACATTAACAAATTAAAATGAAACCTTTAAAAGAGTTGTAAAATCAGTACTTTTGCGCTTTTTTGATATCTGCTGATTATGAATGCTTTCTTCAGTTTCTGATATTTAAAAGTTTTGCAATCCTCATAACAATCTGTAAAAGAAATAACAAAACATCTTATCCTATCTATTAAAGCAATGAAAAATAAATTTAAAAAGTAAGTTATTTAACATTTTGTGAATAAAAATTATCATATCACAAACTAAAATAACAATTCAATAAAATATCAAGCTTCTGGTTCTTTAAACAGACTGGCAATATGACATTTTGCTAAAATGTTAACACTAATTTGGTTGAAGGTACATCAACACATAACATTAACTTGTTAAAAGCGTTTTAAATAAGTTTAGTCATCTAGTTTTTTAGCTTTTTTTGCAGACTTTAGTTTTCCTAATTCCGAGGGATGATATACTTATACATACTATATATTTCAACCCGTTAAAACTTCAAGCTTGGTAGGTTTTTCATAACATAATAAAATTAAAAAAAAATAATGCTATAAATATTTCAATAGCTTTTAGATATAGAGCATAAGATAAAAACTAAACAATTTGAACTCTCTTTTAACTAATTTAAACTTTAAAGACTCGAACCAATTATCAATGTACCTTTTAAATATAACAGGAATTACCTTTAATCTTACATTAATTTTTAAGCGTTGAATTTTTATTATAGCTTTTCAGAAACTTGAGCAATTAGATTATGATTTAAAAGGTAAATATCTGACAGATGTTCAACTATTAGAATCAAAGTACAGAGTTAGCACTTTATCTTGTGATTACTAAAAGAATAACTATTAGTTTTAAAAATCACTGCAGTTTTTATTTACAGAATCTTTACAGAAATAGCCATTAACTTATTTATTATTTTAGGAAAATCTAAATTTTAAAGGAGTAAAAAAGTCACAAAAACTTACCACTTGCATGTGTACTTGGCTGTTTCCTGCTGCTTTAATTGTTGTTGCAACTGACTGGACTGTATATAAAATATTAAATGAAATTAAACACACAAAACTTAACAATAAAAAATATATTTATGCGGATTTCATAAAATTATGTAATATAGCTATATATATTATTGTTCAAAATATGTTAACTTTTCTACTAAAGAGAAAATAAATGATACAATATAATAATCATATCAGACATAAGTAAATTTATTTTCTCTTTAGTGGTTATCATATAGGAGTATGAATACTACTTAAATTTTTAAAAATATTTTTTAGTTTACATTAAAAGCCTTCACTAAAACTGAAGATCCATTATATAAATATTTCAACCTCACAATTTTTAATTGGCACTGACTGCACTAAAAGTATAAATATAACATTGCTATTCGATCAATATAACATCTATCATAAACAAATAGATGTTAGGTCTTAAAATAAACAAAAAATAATAATTTTATTTAGTTATTTAAAAAGTAGCTACGACTTAAAATGCATAATTTTCCTCTAAAACTTTTAGAGAAAATTTATGCATTTTAAGTAATATTTTAGCGTTGTTAAAAACCAAACAGAAAAAACAATTTAAGAAATAGTTTAAAAAGATGCTGAAATTGCTACTTTTCTGAAACTACTGCTACTTTTTTGAAACTGCTATTTTAGTAGCTATAACTAAAAAAAAGAATTATCAAAATATATTGATACTGTACTTAAAATTACTTTTAATCACTCATACAATATCATCGAAGAACTTACAGGACTTTTTAACTCCTTCATTAGCCACAATATAATACTAAAAACAAATTTCTTTTTTTTTTTCTAAACCTTTATTACATAATTTAAGATTAATAAGAAACTCTAATTTTTAATCATAATGAAAGATTCAAAATGTCCGACACATTTTGTAAGAAACTAATTTAATTTAGTTAGTTCCGTACGGAAATTGTTTGATTTAGCTTTTCAACGCAAATTAAATATTCAGAACACGTTTAGATTAGATTCCTAAACGTTTAGATCGACGTAAATGCCATCTAAACGTGATCTAAACCAATTTTAAACCAACAAATGCCCGTTGGGTATATTATATATATATATATATATATATATATATATATATATATATATATATATATATATATATATATATATATATATATATATATATATATATATATATATATATATATATAGTATATATATATATATATATATATATATATATATATATATATATATATATATATATGTATATATATATATATATATATATATATATATATATATATATATATATATATATATACATATATATATATATATATATATATATATATATATATATATATATATATATATATATATATATATATATACATATATATATATATATATATATATATATATATATATATATATATATATATATATATATATATATATATATATATATATATATATATATATATATATATATATATATATATATATATATATATATATGTATATATATATATATATATATATATATATATATATATATATATATATATATATATATATATATATATTTTATATATATATATATATATATATATATATATATATATATATATATATATATATATATATATATACATATATATATATATATATATATATATATATATATATATATATATATATATATATATATATATATATATATATATATATATATATATATATATATATATATATAAAGTAATGGAGAAAATAATGCGTGATGTCATGACTGAACACCTAGTTAAGCATAATCTATTATCTTGCCATCAACACGGTTTTGTCAAATTTAGATCGTGTGTCACAAATCTTCTGGAAGTAATGGATATTATTACCAAAGCTTTAAGTGACAACTGTGCTGCATTGCTCATTTTGTTAGATTTTGCCAAAGCTTTTGATCGTGTATCACATGTTCTGCTTTATCGCAAACTGGCTGGCTATGGTTTTGGCAATAATATTCTTGCCTGGCTCAAAGACTTTCTTGAAAATAGGAAACAGCGGGTTGTTCTAGGAAATTTCTTTTCTGATTGGAAAGATGTCTATAATGGTGTACCTCAAGGATCAGTCATAGGTCCTTTTTTTGATCTTTATTAGAGACATGCCAGAACTAGTCAAAAATAATTGCAAACTCTTTGCTGATGATAGCCAGTTGGTTGCCAAAATAAAAACAGTTACGGACTTGGCTTTAGTTCAAGATGATATTGATATGATATGTAATTGGTCAAGACTTTGGTGCATGGAACTTAGCATAAATAAATGCAACGTTTTAAAGTTCCGTGGTGGTTCCACAGACATCAATATCCCCTTGACAATTTTAGATAAAAATGGCAGTCAAATTCTTATTGAAGATGTATTTGTTGAAAGAACATTGGGTGTTCTGATACATAATAAACTGAAATGGTCAGATCAAATTAGTGATGCCACTCTCAAAGCTAATTTTATACTTGGGATACTCAAAAGAACTTTTAAAAAATGGAATCCAACTATGTTCGTGAAGCTCTATACAGCATATGTAAGACCGATATTGGAGTACTGTGCACGAATTTGGTGCCCTTTTCTTCTAAAGGACATTAAAAAGTTAGAGTCGGTCCAACGAAGAGCTACCAAACTCGTTCCACGATTTCGCAGCTTGAATTACAAGAAACGATTAGCATATCTTGGTCTCAGCTCATTAGCTGAACGTCAAACAAGAGAAGATGTTATTCAATTTTTTAAAATTTATAAAAAATTAAATATTGTTAACTGGCAACAGCAAATTAAGAGAGCAAGTGCACTCCTTTGTGATGGTCCTGCAGGTCATCTTCGTGGTGCCAAGCATAAAATTAATAGAGAACTATCAAAAAACTCTCAAGACATAACTTCTTTAGAAACCGAGTGGTGTCATCATGGAACGCTTTGCCTGCTTCGGTGGTTGCTGCAAATTCAGTTGATCGTTTCAAAAACAATTATGACAAATGGAATCGTTCTATCTCACGTCGGTCTACTATAGTCGGTTCTCGTTAGACAATCGGCTAATAGAAGTCAAACTTCTATTGTAGAAATACTATAATAATAATAATAATAATAATAGTAACAACAACAACAACAACAATAATAATAATAATTGGAATAATAAATAATTATAATGTTATAAATATTAATAATAAAAATAATAAAAGTAAGAATATCTATAATATTATAAATAATGAAATCAAAGTATAATTACTAAGAATAAATATAAATAATTGATTGACGAAGGAGTCACTTCATGCAGATTTCTGATTAAAGAAGTGACACCAAATAATTATATTAATAACAATAATTTAAAAAACAATATTAACAATAAGAACTTTATTTATTAATAGAGCTAAAGTAACAGCAAAATCAATAGTATTTACAATAATTGTAATAATATAAGCAATAATAAAAAATAGCAGAAATGAAAGTAATAAATATTAATGACAAAAATAATAAAATTTCTATAGAAAAAAAAAAACTAAAGAAAGCTAAAAATGTTAAAAACTTGAAATAAATTTTTTTTAGAATTTGTTTTAAATTTATTTTGTTTTAAATAAAGAAAAGATAATAAATTTTGAAATTTTAATTTATCAAACTCATTTACAAAGCACACAAGACTTCGATTTCATTCACTGATGCATAAATGTGTAATTGAATACATACCATACCTCAAAGTTTTATAGGGAGGTACATTTAGTTTTCCATTATTGGTATTTCTAGTTAAATGTGAATGTATAAATCGAGTGCAGTAAAGTAGGTTATAATAGATGAAGCTAAATTTTTATAAAGGGAATCAAAAACAAAACTAAGATTAGTAAATTTAACTAGTGCTGACAAGGTAGAAATTTTAAGCTTTTTGAAGAACTTTAAAGTTTCTGTCTTATGGAGTTGAAAATTAATTATTCGGATTGATTGGTGCTGAGCTGATAACAATTTATTAAAATTGCAGTTGCCAATTTGTCCCCAAACTTAACAACAGTAGATGAGATGAGATTGAAAAATTGAAACATACAAATTTTTAAGGGTAGTTTTATCAACATAATGGCGAGTTATTAAAAGCATGCCATTAGCTCGATTAAGTTTTTACGGAGTGCATCTATATAAAAAAAACATGAGAGGTTTGAATCTTTAAAAATACCGAGATAATTAATAACGTGAGGAAGATATAAACGTTTATTATTCATTTTAACTTTAGTTATATGATAATTGTAGAAAAGTTTTTGTCTTGAAAATTAAAAAAATATTAGTTCAGTTTTTTTCCAAGTTCAAAGAAATTAGATTTGCATTTAGCCAATAAACTAAACCTTTTAGGTCTGAGTTTATATTCTTACACAAAAAATTATAAGATTTATTAATATGCAAGATATTTGTATCATCAGCAAAAAGACGGACTGATGAGAAGTGGACAGAGTTATTTAGATCATTGATATAAATCAAAAACAAAAACAGGGCCAAGAAAAGAGCCCAGGGAAACACCACAAATTATATGTTTGTTACTTGATTTGTAACCATTAATGCTAACAAACTGCTTTCGATTTGAAATTTAAAAATTAAACCAGTTACAAAAAACTCCTTGAATTCCGTTATGTTCAAGTTTATAAATTAAAATGATATGATTAACAGTATCGAACGCTTTTTGTAAGTCAATAAAAACACCACCTACCAAATGACCAGTATCTAGTGCTTTTTTTATTTTTTTGGTTATACTTATTAAAGCGTTGCAAGTAGAGTGATTTGATCGAAATCTAAACTGGAATTCGAAAACAAAAAGGATTTCGAAAATGAATATAATCTAGAGTACATTAGTTTTTCAAGGAGCTTGCTGATGTTAGTAAGAATTGAAATCGGTCTATAGTTCGTGCATGAGAGTTTTAAACCATTTTTATATACTGGAATGACACAAGATATTTTCAAAATATCAGAAAAAGTTCCATTTAAGAAGGAGATATTAAATAGCTAAAAGAGAATATGGGAAAATTCAGAGTTAAAATTAATAAGAATGTTTTTGGGGATGCTGTTAGGACCTATTGATTTTTTAGATTTTAATTTAGGTATAAGCAATGAGATTTCAGAACGGTCCGTTGGAGATATCAGTAAACTATGAAGATTTGGATGTTTAAGATACTTTTTATAGCTAATGTAAGATCAGTGAATTTTAGGTTTAAGTTTATAACAAATGTAGCTACATTTGTGAAAAAGTCGTTAAATTCTTTACAGATTAGAGTAGATTCAGTTATGTATGTTTCGTTAACTTGTAAGTAATTTGGAGGTATATTATTGATTTTTTTGACATTTATATGACTTTTTTAATGACTTTCCAGGTCTTAATAAAGTTTTTTATATTTTCTGAAAAGAAATTTTAGAAATTTATTTTTTTACTCAGTTTTATTAGACTAATTATAGTATACTTATAGCGTTTAAAGATAGGTTTTAGTTTAATTGTATTTGTTGGATCTTTCGTCTTTAAAAATTCGCTTGATTAATATTTCAAATTTGAATTGATTTTGTTATTCCATTAGTAATCCATGGCTTGAATTGACGCATGTAACTTTTAATACTATTTTTTTTTGAGTGGCACATGACAATCTAACAACAAAGTTGTTTGAGAAATAAATGCTTCAAAACTAGAGTTAACAACGCTTTAATTGGTAATAGCATTACAATCATTTTTAAATATT